CCAAAGAGTGGATGAGAGCACAGTGAGGTGCTGGGTGGAGCATTTCAGCAATAAAAACAACATGAAAACAAATCATGCTCCAGGCAGCCATACACAGCTGTCACACCACAAAATGAAGAGTGTCTCAACCAGCTCATCTGCATGAATCAACAGATTGTGGCCACAGAATTGTGTACTGAGCTGAATATCAGTTTCAATGCATTGGAAATGATGCTGGCAACATTGGAATATTGTAAAGTCTGTGCTCAGATGTGTCTCATGTAAGCTCAAGCAGGAAAAGAGAGAACACCACATTGAAGTTTGTCAAGCCCTGTTGAGCTGAAGGTGAGAATTTCCTGCATGGCACCATTACTGGTGGCGTCTTAACTATGAGCCAGAGTCAAAATGGTATCTCATGGAGTGACAACATGTGAATTCCTCTTGAAGAAAAGGTTCAAGACACAGCCCTCAGTGGGTAAAGTGATGTGCACTGTCTTTTGGGATAGAAAATGGGTGATCCTTCTGGATTTTCTGGAACCCGGTCAAAGGAGCAACTCTGACAAATTGCAATGCTGACTATGTTACAGAGTCAGACTAGTGAAGAAGACAATCATTCTCTTCTGAAAAAGTGGGTTACCTCTGCTGGTGCAGTTTTTTAGAAGTGCAACTTAAAGGCTCTTTTTCCTCAGTGGCAAAAATCTATAGCTAATGGTGGTGGCAATAAAGAAAAATAGAATTTTGTTGCTGAGAATTGGTTCTATCAAAGAGTGCTATTTTGCTCGTTGTATCTGTGGTATTATCCATGGAAATAAATAAGAATCATTACCTTCAGAGCAACCTATGGACATTCTGTGATCTATTGACAGTAACTAGTTCTTGTGGTTACGTGCCCTAATAACGGCACTAAACTGACCACTGCACCTGGCAGAACGCCTGTCTTCAAACTTCTTGTTGACAGTTGCTTGGGAAATTTAAGAATTCAAGACTTCCATGCAGGAAGGCAATATCTGAACAGTATTTTTTAAAATGATTCAGAGAAAAGAAAAGAATCTATAAGGCTAATGTGAGATTACGTGTTATGAACATGCTAAAGAGGAAAACAGCTGGAAAAGCTGGACACATACTGTGCAGCCATTATCTTTTTCAGTGTGCAGCTAATTTAGCTACACATTTGAAATTGATGATGAAAAACTTCTTTGAATATCTGATAGAAGAACTAATTAGCTACAAATTACTTTCATCATCAACGTATGTTCATATAAATATTTTCTGGGTTCACGCTTTTAAGTTTAACATTAATAGAACATTTCTAAAAATAATTAGTAGTAGAACATAATATTCAATTGGTTATTTAATAAATCATAGCTTCAGGTCTGAATTCCTATTTACAATTTACAGTGTTTATGTCATCAAATTATGAAGTACAGGCAGAATATTAAATCTCATAATGAGCTAAGTCTACTTTCCTTGACTCTACAGTGTTCCTTGCCATATATAAAATTGCAGTGTTCTTAAAATACCTAACAAATTATTAGAGATGCTCACTCTTGTAAATACAGCCTGATGCCACGTTTTCTGGAGGAGCACTGATGACACTGGGGAAACAGATCATTCTGTGGGAACTTTGAAAATCCTTGTGAAGAGATATAACTTAGGAGCTCCTACAGATGCTGAAATCCGGCAGGTACATGAAGCACTGCATTAGCAATAATACCATAACATACTTTGTTTAAAGTAATCGTGCTGCTTTAGCAAATTAATACTTGCTGAAATTTTCAGGTAAGTGTAACTGGAGATCTACAATAAAATAAGGAAACTATTTTTATTCAAAAAGTAAAGAATGAAACCTCATTGATTATGGCATTGGAAGTCTGCACCCTTCATTAGTTTAAGCTATGGATGTTTTATTTCTGCTGACAGAAGGTCCAAACCTCTCTCTTCATCTGAACTAACTGGACTATTCTTACATATTTTAGAATATTTGCAAAACTAATATTTTGTCTCAATCTAAGAATAAATTTAACTTGATATTGTTCTCAAGTTAAACATTCAGACATTAGAATAAAACAGAATAAAACAGAATAAAACTTCATATTTCTTCTGAATTTTTGACAATTGATACAAATCTGAGAACTTAAGTGTCTATGTCATTCTATTTTTCATACACCACCACTGAATTCTTGAATCTGATTCATTTTTTCTTTTTCTACAGATAGAATTTTAAGGTAACTGAGGATGCATAGAATTAGAAATTTAGGAAATCTCTTTAAGGGCAGAATGAAGGAACTGACTGGTCTAAACTTGAAAAGAAGGAAGTAAGGAGATGCAACCTTTCAATATATAAAGATCTTTTTAAAGACATTCTCTGTGCCCATTTTTTATGTTAAAAAAAGGCTTTTGAATAAACATAATATTACAATGAGTTTTATTAACAGCTATCACAGTATCATATATACTAACACAAATGAAAAACATGACATGCGGATGCCTTGCTCTTGCAACGACATAATAACATAGTCAATCTCTGTTGTATCCAGTGTTAATTAGCTTTTCTGCACATTATTTGTATTAGTAGTTAAAACAACTTCTATAATAAGGATAGATTTTCACACCACTTCATGTTTCCCCTTCAAGACTTGTGTTTAATAATAACATAAAAGACATACCGTTACCATATACCACAGAAAGATTTGAACAACATCCAACAATTTAAGAAAGATTTGAACAACATCCAACAATTTAAGAATAATGAATAACTTCTTAAAAGTAGAAACAGTGAAAAGCTTCCTCAGATAGACTCTAAATGTTATGTGTATTTTCAGCATAAAAAAAGGAAGTAAAAAAGTCCACACCAAAGTACAGAAGTTTAAAGTAACACAATGATATTTTAAAAGCCCATATGTTATTTTCCCCTTCTGGACAAAAAGAAGAGAAAACCGGAAAGCAGCATATACAATAAAAGTTTCATATTAATATAAAACTTTTTAAAAAAGCTACTGGAAGGCCTACATTTGTGATAAGCCTTAATACTGTTATTCATTTCTAATACATGTGTAAAGCAATAAAGGATCAGTGTGACACAGTATAAACACAGAAAAAAAAATCCAAATCTTAATTACAGAGCAATCAATGTCATATAGACAAAAGCCCTCAAGAGAAAACAATGAGGTGATATTGCTTATCTACTTAAGAGTTCTCAGCAGCTGTCATCCTGTGCAAACAAGATGACTTTTAATGAAGGATGTATTTGAATAAAGGCAACGTTTTATCAAATACTTCCAAGAAGAACTTATTTAAGCCAGAAATGAATCACATCAATGTTTGCTTAGAAATACATTAATTGTGAAAGATGGAACCATGTGATGCTAAGCACGGATAAAATGAAGATACAGAGACAGAGAGACAATGACAATAACTTCTCAGGTGAAGAGAACTGTGTGATATTAGAAGAACTCTGAGGCAGTATAGAGGGTTGTCACATGATCATAATGATGGGATATAGATTTTTTCAAAAATCTTCTCAAATTCTAGAGTTCATACTGCAAGTTTCTATGTCATATGTTTGTCATTCTTACAGGGAGTTTAATAGTGTAATACTCCGCACATTTATGCAATGTCTCCATACTAAAGTCTCCATTACAAGTACAATTCACAGTTCAAGAGGGAAGACTCTTGATAATGCTACAAAATACATAATTTTAATAAGCAGACACTCAAGACAATTTTTTATTAGTTTGTTTTTATCAAAGAGATCATCCAAGCTATTCATAATGGCAAATCCCTCTGCAATGATTAAAGGGACCCTCGCTATAAGAATGTAAAACATTTGACAAATGCTGATATCAGACTAAATCGGCCATCTAGACAGGAGACAGTTATGAGCAATGTCAAATTTTGTCTCTGAAATAAAAACTGATTCTACTGGGGGTTAATTTTTTATAATAAAAAAGTTGGTGGTAAGGAACTCATGGTTTGTTTCCAAATCTATGAATCCTAAAATATATCAATTGGTAGTTCCCAAACTCTTATAGACTCATGAACAAGAACAACTTGGGTTTTACACTTTCATTTCTCTGCTATTGCATTTGATATTTCCTCTGAAATTGAATTTGGACTCTTAAAGAAAACTGGAGCAAATGGATATGTAAAGAGCTTGAATTGCATGAACAAAACTAAAATATATCTTTCTAGCATTATACTGAGATACTCTTCACTGATTGATAATATAATGTTGTTATGATGGAATTGGAAAATATCCTAGGATCACAAAACCTAAGATATGATATGGATATACAAATGGAAATATTTGAGTTGTAATAACACTTCTATAAATTTCAAGTTTAAATTAATTTTTGTTTGTTTTTTTTACACTCAAGGGAAAAAAAAAATCAATATTTTCAGTACATGTGATAATGAGCTAAACAATATGAATCATATTGTGAAAAGTTCCTTTAATTTGAAATTCTTTCTCTTGGAATGCTATCATACAATCCCTAATTGAGTTACAAAATAAGACAAAAATGCTTTCTAGTGGGATGTCCTCTATACTAGCTCATGCTCACAGAATCACTGAATTGAGTTGAGTTGAGATTACCCACAGTTTGAGATTATGTCACATCTTGCCACCAGTAATGGTGCCATGCAGGAAATTCTCACCTTCAGCTCAACAGGGCTTGACAAACTTCAATGTGGTGTTCACTCTTTTCCTGCTTGAGCTTACATGAGACACATCTGAGCACAGACTTTACAATATTCCAATGTTGCCAGCATCATTTCCAATGCATTGAAACTGATATTCAGCTCAGTACACAATTCTGTGGCCACAATCTGTTGATTCATGCAGATGAGCTGGTTGAGACACTCTTCATTTTGTGGTGTGACAGCTGTGCATGGCTGCCTGGAGCATGATTTGTTTTCATGTTGTTTTTATTGCTGAAATGCTCCACCCAGCACCTCACTGTGCCTTCATCCACTGTTTGGTCTCTACAGATGTTCAGCAGCTTCGTAGTGTTACACATGCTTTAAATGTCTCTCTGAACTGGAGCAAGTACCCTCACTAATTTATAAGAATAAATTGTAAATTAAAGATTAAAAAACCCATTAATTATCAACTAGTACAGATAACAGTCTGCCTATTATACTATTTATGTTAATCATTGGTAGTGATAGCATACCTCACAGTAAATATGTATATTTGTATTGGTAAGAAACCTGTATCCAAGATATTCAGTTTTTTTCAGAAATCAGAGTGTCAAGCATTTACGCAAAACAGAAAATTATTATTAAAAAAACAAAAAACCATTATTAGCATTATGGAACTCATCTAATCCAGTGTTGAAATATCTTATCTTAGAACAGATGTGTAAGATTGGCAGATGCTCTAAAATACTTGTTTGTCTTTTCTGAGATTGTTTAAACAGCTCATTTATATGTAGCTGTGTATTGAAACAGAGTAATGATACTGTTGATCTCATCCCTCCTCATGATTGGATTTTCCTGTTCTGTATGAAAACATTAATTCCCATCAGGATACTCTGAATTTGTGTTTGTGACTAAATCTACAACACCTTAAGCTGCCTAATAGGGAAACTAAACTAACACAATTAAAATTGTGTACTGGAACATGACCAACACTTTATTGACAACAGCATCACATTTCCTGATCAGAAATTTACATTTAGTATAGGAAGGATTCACTGAAGTACTTAAGAGACTCAATCTAAGAATATCCATGCTAATTCAGTTAAAACTCTTACAAGTAAAAAACATGTAAATGTATACTCATGCATATATACACGTATTTCTTATAAAAAGGTCTTATAAACATCGTTGAAATATAGTTGGAAAATCACATTTGCAGTACAAGGCTTTCCAGTAAAACTTACCTTTGAATCCTTCAGCACAACGGCAGGAAAAGTTGCCAATTAGATTCATACAGATAGCCCCATTTTTGCAAGGTAAACTTGAACATTCATTAATTTCAACTTCACAGAAGGGTCCTCCATATCCAACCATGCAGATACAGCTGTAATTATGCAAGTGGTCCTGGCAGAAGCCATACTCAGAGCACTGGTTTCCAATGCAGTTGTCTATATCAATTTCACAGAAAGTGCCAGTGTAACCAAGGGGACATATGCACCTGTTGAAAAGATTAAAAAAGATGATCTCTGATATTAATGGAACTGCATGATAATAACACAATCATTACAGTTAAGATGGGGCAAAATAGCAGCATTTAAAATTAAATTTCCTATCACAATATTCAAATAAAATCTAGTATATGCTACCAGTATTATGGGTTTTAAGGATTTTTGTAGTAACAAGAGTTAGTTGCTTGCTACAACACTGTGAGGAGAAAAAAAAAACTGTATTATAGAGATTTACCAAGTTTATCTCTATTTAAAGAAATAAATACAATTTGAAACATCCTGCTTTCTTTAGACATAAAACCAATATAAATGTGCTTTACCATTAGATGCAAAGGTTGTAATTTCTGTCTGTAACTGGAGAAAAACTCAATATAACTTCAAAGAAATTGAACTGATTATTATTTCCACAATTTGGTATGACATGTAAAATTAGAGATGACTTTCTATGCTTCCTTCTTTTTTTTTTTTTTTTTTATAAATGTAAACAAAATTGGATTCTTTTATTATTTCATAGATGATTAACATCTTACAGAATTCCAAATTCTGTAACATTCAAAATTCCAAACTCTTATATTCAGCAATATTTTCCCTGCTTGTTCCTTTCCTTATCCTGTTTATAGGTGTTATTTAATGGAAGAAACAGCTGATAAGCTTAGATATTCACAATCCACAGAGATATTATTTAGAAGCTGGAAACACTTTAAGGAAGCCTTGATTATAGCAATTTTCTGTACCAATCCATCTGGCAGAAAGTCTACTTTTTTTCAGAAGTGAATGTTTATGAGGCTTTTACCTTCATTCTTTGCTTGCTATTCTTCCATTTTTATATTAGACTTCTTGAAATTTCCATTTCAGTATTTGTATGTTCCCATCACATTTTCAAGAGGACAATTTTAATTCAGTAGGGAAAAGACTCCATGTAAGACTGAATACAGAAAGACAGAATGATGGGAACTGATTTGAATGTCTTTTTTCAGAAGTTTTCGGCAATATAACTTTTGGACTAAGGAAGTTATAAACCACCAGTGGTACATATTTTTCTCTGTTCAGTTAAGCTCTTAATTTTATCTGCAACTCTTCTTGGCAAGAGAGAATTTGAAGAGCAAAAAAACTTAATCTATGTACAAACTATAGATACCATGGGATCTCCATCTGTCACGATACAGAGGAAATACCTCTGAAGAAAAAAAAAAAAAAAAGAGGAGTAAAGAAACTGTTATGTGTAAAATGAATAGCTCCTAAGCTTTAAACCAATTATTTATTTTTATTTTTATTTTTTACTTCCAAGATAATATGTACTGCTAGTACTGAAAATTCAAGAGTAGCTTCAGAGTATCTAAAAAAATGAGGAGCTCGAGAAAAAAATATATATTCTCAAGTGTATGCCTGACAAGAATAACATCTCCTTTTCTTTCAGCTGGATCCTTGCAGAAAAATTCAGGTGTCTTCCTGGTCCCTCGGAAAAAATTTCATAAGAACAAGCCTGGTTTTCTGCTTTTCATTGTCAGAAGGTGCATTGATATAACTATTTTAGGTCAGAAGAGGAGAAAATTTTATCATGCGTTCCGACTGTTCCAAACTGTAGTGTTCTACTTCACATGGCAGAGCACTTATTTTATTTATTTCAGATGATACTAAATCAGAAGATGTACTTCTGATGGGCCAAACTGGAGATTGCTTGTAGTAAATTCAGTGAGATTAAGAATTGTTCAGCACAACCACTTTTGCTTTATGGATCCCTTGCATCTGCACTACAGTACCTACTCAAGTAGGAGCAGCTACCATATTTTTCATTCTGGCCTTAGCCAATCCTTCGCAAAGAATGAAGCTTTCTTCCTTCTTGAGGGCTCCAAGTGATTCTGTTCCTTTTGGAAGGAATACAGCTCTCAGATTATCTCACAGAGTTGCATTATAGCTAAATAAAAATGTTGATTTGCATAGATCGTTATCCTCATTGAGCATGAAGATGCAAAGCAAGTGCAACTTTAGTTATCTTTAGGTCTCTAGCTATACTGACCAACAGTAAAACTTTGGTATGGAAAGTATCATGGAATTATAAAATCATAGAATTACAAAGTTGGAAAGGAACTATAAGTTCATCCAGTTCAACTGTTCTCCCATTACCATTGCTAACACAAGCCTCTAAACCATATCTCATAGCTCCTCAACCAGACACCTCTTGAACACTGCCAGGGACGGCAACTCCACCACCTCCCTGGGCAGCCATTCCAGCGCCTGACCACTGTCTGAGAGAAAAAGTTTTTCCTTATGTTTAACCTAAACCTCCTCTGGTACAACTTGAGGCCATTTCCTTGGGTTCTGTTGTCTGGGAGAAGAGGCCAAACCCCTCCTCATCACAACCTCTCTTCAGGAAGTTGTATGTAGTTAATCACTCTATTTTTTTAGTTAACTATAGACACAAAAACCATTTTAAGTAATTATTTTTGGGTGCAATCATACTTGGAAAATGTAGCTCACCATAATAATGAATAGAACATTTAACTTAAAGATTTTCTGGAAAGGATAGCAAGAAGGAATTTTCTTTAATGTCCTTGTTCTTACTACTAGTGTAGCTCATCTTCAAGATCACAAAAGAGTTATACAGAAACGGAATTAATGAAGAATGTTCTAATTTCAGTTTCACGTTTCCAACTCCATGCTATCAGTGATGATATCAAATTTCTTTAATACTTCAGTGGCTGAATGTATCTAAAATAACTGAGACTGAAATTTCCTGGTTTCCCAGCTGAAATTATAACTAGATACCTATGGATTTAATATGTCATCTCTTGCAGCAGATAAATCAAGCTCTCATATGTTTAGACATTTATTCTACGTTATTGCTGAAGAAAAACAAAAATCTTAAAATTCTCTTGTGAATTTAGTGAGAAAATTTTGCATAGTTTGGCTATCGCTATTTTCTTGCACACAGAGTAGCTGGCTTTTTTTTTTTTCTTTTTTTTTTTAAGTGTAATACTAGGTTAGAAAACCAATTTAAATATGAATCTTCCTGTCATATGAAGCTCAGTGACTGATGTATATGGTTAATCATGACAAGAACTGAGGCAGTGGCTCAAAACAGTGGACTATAAGACTAGTATTGCAGAAAGAGGTTTTGTTCTGTTATTGTTTGTTCAACATATTCGTTAATACAAACAGGAGTATTAAAGTTCTCTTCATAATCTAAATTACTACTGAGTATTCAGGTATGATTTGAGAATGAGAATTTTTGAGAATCATTTATCTACTATCCTAATGCAGGTTGAGTTTTAGCAATAACGGTATAGAAATTCAGTAAATACTTTAGAAACAACAGAATATTTGACCTCAAATTCTAATTGTAATTTTACAAATAACATTAATACATAACATCACAAATGGACAGTCAATGAAGACCAAGACAGTTATGAGTACATTAATAATAATCATTGATTTAAATCTGTACTTCATAGATTATCTTTTTTTTTTTTTTTGAAAAAAAAAGGAGACTATTTTTGTGAAGTAAAAATCTAAACTAGTCACATTGTCAATGTATTTTTTGTTAATTTTTTTGTGAATTGAAAAATAATAGTTATTTCTGACATTAATGTTTTGAACATCTAACAGTAAGTTATACTAAGCAGATATGCAGTAAAGCAGTGCAGGAGTCAGCCTGGCCTTGGTCTGGGATGGGTTTCACCAGATTAAGTCCTATTAGCAGCCTAGCAGATTAAGCTACTGCCCTGCTGTAGTTCCCTGATGGGCCTCTATGGCTCTGCTGGGAGGGGGGACACCCAGCAAAGACCTGTGGAAGCTAATAACACCCACCATCTAATTTCTAAATGTTTCTTAAACTTAACATATAATTACAAAATTGAAATTCTATGGGATCATGGATTATCAGCATCTGACTGCATTTATCTGTAGCTCTAGCATTTTTATAATATTTTAAATTATGAAGGATGTTTGAATTATGCTATCATTTCACCTCTACATCAGTCTGTAAAATGAGTGTTGAACACATTTCTGTTAAACACCATGCTGGTATAACACTCATATTGCTGAACTTCAAATATATTTTCCTGTCTGTCCTAAAAGTAATATGAAGACCAGTAATCTCTAAGCAATTGGTACTTTTACACTTGTAGTAGGAAAAGGCTGTCAGCATTTGCTTTAATGAATATGACCTTGTGTTATTACTTCAACATGAATAAAATACTGAGCACGATATCGAAAGCTTTCAATGATAAACTGATTTCAGTTTTCATTTGCTGTAAAGCTAGAATGCTTCTCTCCAATAAATTAAGAATCACTACAATCACTAAAATATTAGTATTTCAAATTTTTTCATATTTTTGTATTATTCACGTCATTGTTCACCCTTAGTGTAAGGGTGGTTACGGATATCCCAGTACGTTACAGTAACCACAGGTGTACAAACAGCACCAATGTTTGTATTTGTAAGTGAATCTCTAGCTCACTAAACATGTTTTTGTCCTTACCAGTAGGAGCCCCTCAGCTGTGAGCTGGACCAGCAGTGCAGGAGTCAGCCTGGCCTTGGCTTGGGATGGGTTTCACCTGATTAAGCTGCTGCCCTGCTGTAGTTCTCCGATGGGTCTCTATGGCTCTGCTGGGAGGGGGGACATCCAGCAAAGATCTGCAGAAGCTAATAACACCCACCATCTAATTTCTAAAGGAAGACTGTGAGCCTTAGAAACTGGATTAACACAAAGGATGAGAACGGCACCAAAGAAAATGTAAATATGAAATTTTGTGTAACAATTTTAACTACTATTTTTGAGCCCTTCTGGGTTAATTTGGATTATGGATTATGGTCACCAGACTAAAAACGAGATTCATCACACTCTTAAAACATCACTGGAAATGACAGTAATTTCTTAGCTTTGTATGTGCTTCTTTTGTCCATAAGAAAATCTGAGTGTAAAATATCATAGGAAAGAAAACCTACATCTCAGTGTGTTGTTGTTTGTTTGTTTGTTTGTTTTTCTATAAATATAGAAATCAAACCAAAGACACAATTACCCTGTAGTGGATTGCTTTACTCCTGCATATACTGTGTTTTTGCTGGATACTGATACTGTATTGCCTAAACCTTATTAACAATGCACAGTAATTCAGTATGTCCATGAAATAAATGTAAAGGACAGACTCAGATAATTCAGGCATGGAATTTAGTCTAATGAGTAACATGTCACTGGAGTATGGACAGTTACAGTGTAGCTGTAATGTTTTCTTAACAATACCAGTAAGACATAACTTTTTATCTCCTAAAACCTATAGCAACAGCTATGTCGGTAGGCAAGTTCACATTAATGAGCCAGGCACAGCAGCTGTCACAGCGCACTTTCAGACTGCTTGCACAGAAGTGATGTAGAACTTTGGCCACTGAGTAAACTGTGGCCAACTAATGCATCTTTAAAACAAGTGAGAAAAGCCAAGGACCAGACTGGAGATATATCTATACTGATCTTTGCTAGATGACCCAGCTATTTTCTATGTTGCCATTGAAAGCACTCTTAAGATGAGCCCAGCAGATTAACTGCATTTATTTAGTGTTTCTGCATCTTTCATGGGCCCTAAGAGATGGAAGTCAGAAGATGTCAAGTCCAGACTATTTGCTGGGTGTGGTAGGACTGTCCAACCAAGACTGGCAATGTGTTCCACAGCCTTCACACTGGTATGAGACATGGCATTATCATATTACAAGAAAAAGGTTGTTTTCTCCTCTAGCCTGACTGTAAATTTGAGCCTGTATCAGTCAGAATTGCTGCCTTGTCCAGATTCTAGGAAACCCGGAAGGATCACCTTTATCACCTTTTTCCTATTCTGAAAGATGGTGCACATCACTTTACCCACTGAAGACTGTGTCTTGAACTTTTTCTTCAATGGTGAATTCACATGTCATTTCTCTATTGACTGCTGTTTTGATTCCAGGTACTAGTGGTGGTCAAGATCATCTTCTGGCATGTGGATGAAGTTGGCCTATTGCATGGAATCTGCCACATTCATCATATCTGCAGCTAAATCAATACAAAAGTGTGCTTTTTGGAGGAATATATCACTTCAAATGCATTCAGATCTAGTTACAATATCTCAAACAGCACAGACTCAGCTGGAAGTGCAGTAATTCATTTGGATTAATAAGAGGCTTTGTGGAAATCGGACTGTGGCCACTTTAGTTCTAAGAGGAGGCTCACTAAAAAAAAAGATTTTATTCCAAGATGTTATTCCTATTATGTTGTTCTTGTTATCTACTATTGCTTGGATTTCTATCTGTATCACAGCTGTAAGGCTTGAAACCTAGTGCCTCTCCTTCATCCAGAGCAGCTCCCCATGGTGAACTCAAATTCCCTTTATGTTGAATGTATGTGCAACTATATGCCACTACCGTTTTAAAATTTCAAGAGTTTTAAAACTGAGAGGACAAACAGAGTCAATAGAAAGTTAGAAAAATTTCAGTTAAATGCACTTTTTCAATCTGTAAAACTGTAACAGCTCACTTTGTAGAAAGCAACAGTTTAAAAGTGGGAGAAGAGTGATGTTGAAACAAAGCTGGATACCCTACATGTTTTTCTTGTCTTCACAATGCGATAACAAGCCACCACTGAAAGAATATGACAATTACTTAAAAATTTAAAAATTATGCTTCCTTCTAGTTTATACTGCAGTCTTATATTCAAATATCTATATTACAGATCACAAAGGAAAGCATGTATTTGACAGTTTTGCCTATATTAAAAAAAAAAAAAAAAAAATCACAAAATTTCAACCATTTTCTTCAAAATTATCATTCAGATTTTATAAGAAAAATTATTCCATGTCACACTCAGGCTCCTGGAAGTGTTTACCATTTGCTAAAGTGGATGGTTTATTTTTTTGAGATTTTGCTGGTATATTTTCCTTGTCCAGAAATATAAATATTTGTGACACTTTCCTTTGTTCAGACAAAACAGTCTATCTTATCCAAGAGTGCTTAATAAACTTCTAACATCACATCAATACCTGTATTTATTCACTTCATCTTCACATGTGGCTCCATGTTGGCACTGGTTTATCTCACAGTCATTAATATTCTCCAGGCATGTTTGTCCTGTCCACCCAAGAGCACAAACACAGTGAGATCTTTGGTTGTCTTCATCATAGTAACAGCTACCTCCATTTGCACACACCTGAACATAAGAATTACAAGAAAATATGAAGAGGCTTTTCTCTAGATGTTGACTGTTGATTTGATGCTGGTTTAGTTTCTTTGTTTCTCAAAAGAGCTTAACTGAATAATCAATGATTACAAAGACTGCTATTTAATATTTTATTATTTGTTAAAAATCATAGTATCACAAGACATTTTACATCCTGAGAATGTAAAATACTGAATGCTACTAAATCAATGTATCAATTAATTAATTGGTAAAACCCACTCATGATTCAATTTAACAGTGACATTTATCCTAATTCACTTTAGAATATAAACATTTTAGGAGAGGTGTTAGTGACATCATCTGCAGCCATTCCTGCATTTAAAACAGAGATGTAATTTAATTTAATTTGTGGTCATCAAGAAAAACAAATAAAGCTTTTCATAATGATTTTGATCCACAATTTTCATAATGATTCTGATTCACAACCTTGAACCTGTTTATTTCAATAGATTTATAGATACTGATATATCATGAAATCACAGAATATTCTGTGTTAGAAGGGAGACTCCCGCAAGTATTGCTGATTCCAGCTCTTGGCTTCACATAAGAGGAACCAAATAAAATAAAATAAAATAAAATAAAAATAAGAAGAGTGCTGCACAGATGCTTCTTGAACTCCATCAGCACAGGACCGTGCCCACTACCCACTGGTGCAGCCCTGTCCCTAACCCCCCGCTGCCCTCCCCTGACGCAGCTCCATGCCGTTCCCTCGGGCCCTGTCGCTGTCACACAGAGCGGAGCTCAGCGCTGCCCCTCGGCTCCCTGTAAGGAGCTGCAGCCGCCATCAGGCCTCCCCTCAGCTTTTGTGCTCTGTGCTGAGCACACCGAGGGACCTCAGCCGCTCCCCATATGCCTTGCATACCCTCACCCCTCCTTTGAATCCATCCATAACCCTACTTTGAACCTACACATAACCCTCCTTTGAACACATCCGTGTAATACATCACAGTATAAATATCTCTTTATGTTCTCCTTCAGTGTGCGTATAATGCAAAAGTAATAACACTAAGCCAGAAAAACACTTCTCTTAGCTTTTTTTTTTTTTTTTTTCCCTCCTAACATCGCTTAGTAAAACAGCGTCCACTGTATTTTCCAAACATTACAGAAACTTCTAAGTAAAAAATAAACACTCTTTTCTTTATTTTCATTTGAGGTGTACCTTCATTTCCATGAAAAATTTGCAGGAGTAAAAATGGATAATTGCATTTTCTTTTCAAAGCAATTAAGACCTCTTTTTCTAATCAATTGGTTTCTAAAGAAAATGGTGTCTTGAAGATGAGCTAATGCACTAACACTTCAGTTTGATTGAGTCTGAATCTCTTTAAAATGCCATTAAGATTTGTAATAATAACAGTTCTTGCCAGAAATCCTGTAAAATTCATTTGTCTTTGATTAAGTTTTAAATTGACCTGAAAATTGAGAGATTTTTGCTGTGCTCTCAGTCCTGAATTTTAGACATAACTTGGAATTCTTTTTCAAATGGACGACTACTTGAAGAGGAGCACAGCTCTACATCAACACAAAGAAATGTTGTATGTGTACAGTCTTAGAAGTATTCACTTTTTTGATCAATGTCTCTTAATTTTTTAATTAAGCACTTCTGCTTAAATAAAAATGCTGAGCCTTACTATTTCATCAACTTTTTTTTTTTTAAAAAAAGAAACAAAAAACCTTATACTCAAGAAAAAGTAACAGTTTTCAACACCTAATTTTATTCTAAAAACCTGTTCCACTCATTGATGTTTGCACATACTTGGTCAAGTATAGCATTAATCTTTGCTTTAGGATAACGATATTTAATTTGACTACCTGTGAAAAAGTGACTGTGGAGTTAAGTACATTCAACTCCCATTGATTTAATTTTTATATCTTTCTACTTACTTGTAGATTAGGTAAGCTCTAAGATTTCCTCCATTAAAAAAAACCAAAAATGTGATCATGTAAATTATGGGCTATAAACTGTAAGTAACTGGGAACTCAGTTAAATGAATCCATTGCAGTACTAAGACTTATAAGAAGGTAAAAAGTAGAACAAAATCACAAAATTGTTAGCACAAATGTTGTTAACGCTAACAGTGTTTTTAAATCCTAAATGTCTTCTTCATAAAGTGTACCCAGGCCTTGTATTAACATATTTTAATATATTGAGTACTGTGTGCAGGCCTGGGGCTCCCAGTACAAGAAAGACTCAGAGCTCTTGGAACAGGTCCAGAGGAGGACCACTAAGATGATCAGAGGGCTGGAGCACCTTTCCTATGACGACAGGTTGAGGGAACTGGGCTTGTTTAGCTTGGAGAAGAGAAGGCTCTGGGGAAACCTAATTGTGACCTTCCAATACTTGAAAGGAGCATATAAACAGGACAGCGAACAGCTGTATTCAAGGTTGCGTGGTGATAGGACAAGAGGGAATGGTTTTAAACTAAGACAGGGGAGGATTAGGCTAGGTATTAGGAGGAAGTTTTTCACTCAGAGGATGGTGACACATTGAAACACATTGCCCAAGGAGGCTGTGGATGCCCTGTCCCTGGAGGCATTCAAGGCCAGGCTGGAAGTGGCTCTGGGCAGCCTGGTCTAGTGGTTGGCAACCCTACACATAGGGGGAAAATAGATGATCATTGTGGTCCTTTTGAACCCAAGCCATTCTATGAATCTATAATGTAATTTAGAAAAACCTTAGAAAATTAAGACTAAAGTTATATTTCAATATCCTCTTTAATTTAATGTTGTTCAATAGTTTATACTGTGAAGCTGCTGTTCTTTAAGATTTTAGTGCAACTGCAACAGCTTTACATTTGAATTAAATCAATGAAATATATTTTTTGCATGTAATCTAATTATAAGTTTTCTCTATCTGAAAAGTTAATTTTCTATCAGTTTAAATCTTGAATACTTTCTGCTAAGATGATAAAGGATTTTAAGAGAAATTAATGCTAAATTAATCTGATAGTAAAATCAAAGTAAAAGCCTGCACATTGTGTTTTTCTAATTTCTCTCAGAAAATTTGCTTGTCACATTTTTATAGAGTAAATACTTCTAAATTAAAAACAAACAGACAAACAAAAAAACTTCTGGAAAGAATTGTATACTCCCACCAATATCTTTTTTTTCCCCAAAGTCAACCTTCTTCATAGCTAGAATTAAACACAAATCTTACTGTTTAAGCGATGATAAAAAAGGACTGTGGTGCTCTGTCTCATCACACTTCTGTGATGATACTGCTTATACTGTCAATAAACATAGCTTAGCATGTTGCCTTGATTAAAAAAGTAAGCAGAATCAGTTCCTTCAAACAGGAAATGTTACTACAGAAAGGAAAGATAATTAATTGTTACATGATTACATTTTATTCTTCTTTTTATTTTAGCTTTACAGTAAGGCAAGTAACTCCACATACATGGCTGTGTATTCTCCACGTGACGTATTGTCCACCGTTAGAGACAACACCATGTGTTTGAGGAATCTCATCCCAGTGCAGTAATTACTTCCTAACAGTTCTCCCTGAATACTTTTCTTAGATTTCCCTACAGTTTAAATGAAACTGATTTTTATTATTATTATTTAATCTGACACATTTCAGGCATATAGCTATTACAATCTTCAGACACTGTTACTGCAAACGCAACTGCACACAGATACTCATATTTTTCTCAAAGTGTAATTTTGATTCATCTACTCTGTGTTCTTTCCTAGATTAATGATACTTCAGGTAGATAAAATGATTTCCTTAAACCAATCAATAAACAAAAAACACACTAAAATGTAAACGTTTAATTTTCAAGAAATATTTGCTAAAAATATCAAGGTAAAAGAAAGAAACAACCATCTATATTTTATATCATAATTCCATAATTAATATGATTGCTTTACTTTTACAGATGTGCCTCAGAGTTTTCATAAACTTGCAGAGCATGCCAATATGAGGACCATGACAAATATGAAAGTTGGAGTGCCTGTAAGTATGCATTGAGCAAGTAAATATTCTTATTCAGAAGGTGGGAAATACAACTCTAACTGCAAATATAGCTGGGTAGTTTGTGATTGTTCAGCTCACAGAAAAATACTTTGAAAAAAATGCATTTTGCAATCATACCCAACATGTTCTGGACAATAATTCAGCCCATGGCACCAGTCTGGATCTAGTCTAAAAAAATCAACCTGAGATGTATTCAGTGCAGAATCATGATCTTCAGCGAAAACTGTTTCTCTCTGTCAATTTGTCCTTACATTCCACTTACTAATGTAGGCAGACATAAATAAGTACACTATGCTTGAAATTTGACATAAAATACTGAAGTTTTATGTTTCTGGCAAATGACACTCTGGCATTGTGGTCACATTTATAAGAAATTCTCATTAGGAACAGTTTCTTTTTGGCGTCTACATACAGTAGTTCAACTGTATGTGCAAGGTACAATAGCAGAGTAACACAGGGAATGGCCTATATTATTACATCAGTATCCTACCTCACTAAAAACCTATTCTAGACAAAAATTGAAAAACACTGAAATAGTAACATTTTCCCCTTTTCATAGAATTTTAGAATCATAAAATCACTAAGATTGGAAAAGATTTCTGTAACATTCAGAAAGATCAACATGATGGAAAGGTGGTATAAGAGGTGTAATGCCAGAGGAACAAATGTAATGGAAAGGAAGGAAGGAAGAAGGACTGCTCATCAGTCTCTGAAGATCTAGGCTTACAGGGAAACATCACAAAGGACAGATCTCCAATCAGAGATCCATCCACCGTGGCAGTCAGCCCTTAAATGGGGTCTAAGAGAAGAAGAGCCAGGCATCCAATCACACAGTTGAATTGTCGTCACCTGTGCTTCCAAGGCCAACCCAGTCCTTTCCCCAGGTACTCAATCAGGCCGTGACTCAACAGTTAATACACAACCTCTAGGATCATCGAGTCCAACCATCCACCTACCACCAATATTTTCCACTAGACCACGTCCCTTTGTACAAAATCTAAATGTTTCTTGAACACCTCCAGGGATGGTGACTCAACCACCTCCGTGGGCAGCCCATTCCAGTGCCTGACCACTCCTTCAGAGTGGACCCTCTAGTCCTATTGCTTAACACATACATTCAAGTAGCTGATGACGTGTTTATGTTGAAATCACTTTAAAATTATGGCACCAATCATTTCTCTTGCAAGACAGGATAATTTTTTTAACAATGTAGATGTTTTGGTATTTTTCAAAATCTCTGTATTATTGTTTATCTACTGACACTTGCATGTCTGCCTGAATCTTTTCAAAGTTTGTCATTGCCTGTTTTTGACATAGATGATTTTGTGAGTGCAGAACCTCAAACAATAAATACCAGGAATGTCCTGTGGACACCATGCTAACCTCTGCTGAAGAAATGAATATTGTTCAGGTATGACAGCTATTAGCCTGTAGTGAGCAACCAACTAAATGCATGTGGAAAATCAGAAATGCACACAGTTCACTAACTGGCTGTCATACTAACACCTGAGATATGGCTACCAGCTTTGACAATGATTTTGATAGTAAATGTCTATTTAGCTTATCCCTACTGTATGTTTTTGAAGGATGAATTTAATCAGACAACTCACTGGCCTGTTTCTCTACTCAGTTGTCATATGTTTTGATAACAAAAGAAAAAATTAAACTGATGTAATACTAAAGGGAACTGTCTCTTTCTTTTAGAGATATATAAGATTTTAATTAAGGCATTAGCCTATTCCTATAGCTATGCTGTAAGGCACAGTAAAGCTTACTCTTCTGCCTACTCCACCTTGGACTAACGTTGCAATAAATTTATTTGTTATTTCTGCTGTTCTTAGCAATTCTCTATGAATTCCTATTAATAAAAATGGTGGGGGATATAACATATATCTTACATTCTAATGAGACAGGAATATTTTCATTTTTCCTTTTGATGTCATACTGAGTAGATTTATTTCAAAGAAAAACAACATAAACACTTTAAATGTTATGCCAGTGGGAAAAAAAAAAAAGTTCATGTTAGTATCATTCTATGTTTATAAAAAGATAAAAGAACCCCAGTGACTTATATTTACATGAGAAATATTAACATTCTTTTTGATTTACTGTGCTGACTGCACAAACTGAGTCAAAGCAGTTCAGCATATCTAAGGTACAAATGGAAATGGAAAAAAAACTGAAAAAAAGGCTTACTTTTTCAAGCAAGAGAATAGTACTATAAATATAATATTGTATATTCCACAGGTGAAGAAAACAAGTAAAAAAAAAGGCATATAATTCCTTTGTTTTAGTTCCCTTTCCTGTTAGAAAATTTCCTAGTTATTGGCATTATGGCTAAAACAAGTGGCCTGTGGAATGGGAATATAAAGAGATAGATACTTGTGCATGTATAGTTCACACAGTCTATGTAATGTTTGTTAAACAAATTAAATATCTGAGGGTTTTAAAGCGAGTATTACAATAAAATGTTTCAGTAGCTCTCATCAGCATCCTTGGCACACCATCACTTCCCATCCTAACTAGTCATAATAATTATTATATCATTATAATGTTATGCCATGTACAATAAATTTGCACTCAGTATGACAATTTAAATTATGAAATTGTTAAAATTTACCAGATGCTGAACAATTTAAATGCAAACCTTTGAGCTAGTGGGTATTTCAGTAATACATTTTGTAGTCATTGGTGAGTGTGTACTCATAGACTTCAAGGTGACATAAATGTTAACTGCTTCTTCATAAATGCATTGTTTGCTCCATATAGTATATTGTTATGTGGAATGTATTTCAATAAAAGAATTGATTAAGCTTTTGAAACACTGGTTATCATGTGTAAGCAGCTGTTTGGAAGGGGTAAATGGCATTCTCTACATAGCTGGTAAAATAGCTATCATAATGAACAGGCGCTGCAATATTTCACTTTATCATATACCAAAATCTCTGTAACTCAAGGGTCTGGGCCTATACTCTACCCTGTTATGGTGGAATTAGGAATATCATCCAAACCAATGACTTAACTGAAGGGGTCACTAAAGGGAAGTGAGGAGGATATACTAAATAAAGTTCTTAAATACGTCTGCATGCATACTGGATGCAATTTTGACCTAAATATTATCAGCATCTAACTCAATTTTCCAATTACATTTTTATATCATAGAATCATAGAATGGTTTGTGTTGGAAGGGACCTTTCAGATCATCTAGTTCCAACCCCCTGCTGCAGGCAAAGACACCTCCCTATAGACCAGGTTGCACAAAGCCCCATCCAGCCTCGCCTTGAATGCTCCCAGGGAGGGGGCATTCACAACCTCACTGGGCAACATGTTCTACTGTCTCACCACCCTCACAGTAAAGAATTTCTTCCTAATATCTAGTCTAAATCTACCCTCTTTCAGTTTAAATCCATTTTCCCTCATCCTGTTGCTACTTGTCCTTATAAAAAGTTCCTCCCCAGCTTTCCTGTAGGCCCCCTTCAGGTTCTGAAAGGCCACTATAAGGTCCCCCCATAAGCTTTCTCATTTCTAGGCTGAAAAGCCCCAGCTTTCTTTGCCTGACCTCCTGAGCACCTCCCCTGAGGGGAGGTGCTCCAGCCCTCTGATTGTCTTTGTAGCCCTTCTCTGCACCCTCTCCAACAGCTCAATGTCCTTATGTTGGGAGCCACAAAACTGGACACAGTACTCCAGGTGGGGTCTCATGAGAGCAGAGTAGAAGGGCAGAATCACCTTCCATGAACTGCTGTCAAGCAACTCTTGATACAACCCAGGATACTGTTGGTTTTGTTGGGCTGCAAGTGCATGCTGCCGGCTCATGTTGAGTCTTTCATCAACTGACAGTCATCTCTCAACCTTTTGTCATCTTTCCTTGCAGAAACTTTCCTAGCAGAAACTTTCCTTGCAGAACAGTTAGTCTTGTTTTAATTTTTGTTGTTTGTCTGATCGTGGTTTTTAACCTTGTCTGTGGAAATGCAGTTTTTGTCCTTCTCTCTATGCATCGTTTCATCATCAGCCTTCTCTCTAATAAGTTTTAAGCACATCAAGTCATTTCAAGGAATTTTTAGCAGTTCTTAGAAGGTTCACTACATAGCAGAAAGTAAGGAGCAGAAGATACCAAGAAATAAACCTATAATGAATAAGACAGGCAGAGCTCAGACAGCATGAAGTTTGTTTGGTGGTGGTTAGACTAGTCATGTCATGCATTTTTGGTTTCATGTGTTACACGGGAAAGAAGGCTAGCATAAGAATATAATGAGAATGAGTATTTGTATTTTGTTTAGATAAGCTGTGGGTAATGTCAGCTCACTGCAATTAGAATAACCTGTTTGGTTTCCCAAAAACACTGGAGGGAATATATAACTTTATCCTACCTTTGTGTTTCTAATACATGGTGATAAACATGTGTAATTAAATCCATGAGATTTATTCATGCACACTGCTCCTGGGGCACAGCTTATATTGTAGAGTAGGCAGACGTCAATATCCAGTTCACATCTTTCACCTTCAAAACCTACACCACAAAGAGAATGTTTAATCACAGTTCATTCACAATATTGACATTGTGTCTGTTCATGGTGTTAGCAGTTAATACCACTCTACTAAAGTAATTTGGCAGTTTCATTTCCTATACAAAGAAAAAAGAGAGATTTTACATAAAATATTATTTGCAGACATTCAGATATATCACTACTTTTAAAATAATTTTTATATTTCTTCTATAAAACTTAGATATTTCAATGGCATTTTCTTGTTCTGCTCAGAAAACACTATAAATTTGCATTGACTCACCCATGGGGCAAATGCACTTAAAATGGTCCTCATAGTTAACACATGTTCCTCCATTTTCACATGAACTGGAATTGCAGTTATCAATTTGCACCTTGCAGAATTCTCCTGGGGTTGAAAAAAAAAATAAAATCTTACCAAGGTTAAGAATGAATTTAATGTACATAAAAACAAACAAAAATGCAACAAAGTAATGAAACCATACTAATAACATTGGTAAAATGTCCATTACTTTAAATAATCTTTCTGCAATATTGCTTAAAACCTTGCATAAGGTTTTAACAACTTAAACATTTATAAAAATTATATGCATGCTTTGAAATTTAAAAAATATAGGCAATAGGAAATTAGATGCTTCAATTTTTTTTTTTTTTTTTTTTTTTTTTTTTACAATAATGCAATAAATAACATTATATAGACAGCTATGGACAAGTTGAGCTTACATTAACAAAATTTCAATTTACTCACTTTGTACTGGTACTAAAGGTAACTAAATCTTTCAAAAAAAACTAAACTCTCAAACAAATCTGATATTACTGTGATTAATAGTTTAAAAAAAAAAAAAAAAAGGAGCCAGGAGAAGAGATAAAATATGATTTTATGGAATACAATTGGCATAAAGAAAGGCTAAAATAGTTAATAGATGTTTTAAATAAAAAATGAACTGAATGCATCTAGGAAGTTATGTTACCTCCTAGAAAATGTTATTTTTTTCCCATTAATTTTACTAAGGTAAGGAAAGTAACACTGGGAAAAGAAAGCTGGAAGAAAACTTTGGCCCCATTCAATAAAGATTTTTGATCCATTTTTTCATATTTATTCATGAAGGTGAAATTGAATTGTTCAAAAAGCCCTTGTGAATAAACATTAGCATAGATCAAACTAGGTTAAAGAGTTATTTTGGTATAAAACTGAAATCCTTATAAAAAACTGAATCTTTTAAGCAAACTTTGCAACTTTTCACTGCCACAGTGAGGTCATGAAAACCTAGTAACTCCAAACTGCTATAAAATTTATTAGAATCTGAATACTGCTGAGAAATGCATAATTTATAGTATTAAGATCTGATTAAGTGTTAAATGGATGTCAGGAGAGATCTCCACAGTAATCCACTTAGCTTTTAATGCCTAATTATCACTTCATAGTGAGTGAGGGCTGAATAATTGAGAACTTCAACACTCATATAACTTAAACAAGGTTTTTGTGTGCAATTAGGAATGTTATTCTTCTATCAGGAATAAGTTCAGCAGGTGCAAGAAACAAAGAGGGAAGTAAACAATGTTCTTAAGGATTTTACTGCTATACTGTTTATTTTTAAAATATCCTTATTCAATTTTACTGATGTACTAAAGGTTTAAGTTAACCCTGAACAAAACAAGTTCAGTGACAAATGCATCTCATCCAGTTATAACTACTTTACTAATTTGGTAACACTAGAAACATAAGAAAGCAAATATTTTGGTGACAGTTGAAGTTAGAAGCCACAGATTGATTTATTCCAATTTCCTATCTTCTTTCCCCTCCAGAACTTTAAACAAAACATACATTTATATCCATGTATTTATAGGCCACAAAAATTAAAAACTGTTAGCAAATGATGTCTCATCCTAAACATTGGATGCAAATCAGATCAGAAGGTTGGAGTCCTTAAAAATGTTTTGTTTTTTTTTTTTCTACAGGATCTGCAGATAACAGAGTGACAATCTTGATACAGATATTTATATTGTAGGCTCTTAAAATAAGGCATGATTTCTTTTACTTCCAGCAACTTTATACTTAATTATTTTGACAGACATTAAACTCACTTACAGTAACCATTATTGGACTCACTAGAAGTTCAGTGGCTCTAAATATTTCCTCATCCGCATTGGGAACTGTGTTGAACTGCATAGTAAATGTATTTTTAGATCAGTCTAGACATAGCAATTAATCTTTGTGCTTTTCCAAATAAAGTAGAATTGGTGAATGAGAAAAAAAAAAAAAAAAAAAGGACTGACTTAACAATTCACATGTGCAGATGGTAAAAGCATCTGCCTGTCTGTAAGTTACAGAGTTGAACTAGCAAGTTTAAATTAGTTGACTTCATTGGAATTCAAGATTTGTATTATAGCCTCCGTGAAAAATCTGTCCCTAGTAGTTACCACAAATATAAAAATTAAGAATTATTTCGGACCAAAGCACATAATTTTATTCTGATATAAAATTGTTGTTGTCTACACTCCCTATATAGGTAAGCATCAAAAAGAGGAGCAAATAATGAGTTCTTGAAAGAGAAATGTCAAACATAGGTGAAATTGTTTTATGTGTTGAGAATTTTACAATTAGATAATCTCCACTGACTATACATAGAATCTAAACAATCTGAGACTAGTTGAGACTAAATTAAGTTTAAAATTGCTAAAGATATATCATATTTAATTAGTTACAGCACTGACTATCTATCCTAATATTTAATTACAAAACCTTTGAACAGTTTTATTAGGTAAGTCACAGGCATTGAACGTAGGATGTGTACTATTCAATGTTGACCTCTACATGTGAGCTATGGATGATATAATGTCTGCATATATGCTTCTCAGAACATAGGAATTGTTTCAGAAAATGTTACAAAAGGTAATGAACAATATTGCCTTCTTAAATGGCAAAAGATTTTAGTATGCACATTTTTCTACAGTAGTATTATAGAAGTAATCTGTGAATACTGTTTTTATTAAAGTATGTGTTCTTAAATATAAGTCCTGCTTACTTTATTTCCAAAACACCCTCCATCTCCAATTTTGGATTTCACAAATATTTGTAAAGGATGGTACCATGTATGGAATCAACATTTATTTCTTAATTGCTTTTTAAGAATTTTTACCTAAGAGTTTACTGAATGCTACTTAGATGGAAAGTTTTGACCATCTCCAAGAAATCATAAACACTGTATGCAAAAAAGATCTCTGCCTCCATTTTAAGTTGTTTTATTAATTTATTTCAGAATAAAACAAATAGAGGAAAAATAGAGGCCAATAGGTTAATGCAGAGAGCAATAAAAACAGTTGTGGTAAGAGTGGAAAGTGATATTTTGAAAATAAAGAATTAACAAGGATGAAGCAAACATTCAGTCTTTATAGAGATTAAATCCCAGAGTGAGAGTGGGGATGGGAGGAGAAGTCTTCTCTTGATTTTTATTTGTTTTTTCACTAAGCATCTGGTGTCAGTATCATGGATATTTTAGGGTTTTTTGCTCAGTAGAGGTCTCCCTAGTTGAGTAATGGGTGACTAAGTGTTTTTTTTTACAAAGAGAATGAAGCAAAGATTTTCAGTCTCAGATTGCAAAACATTTCATAAAGGAAGACCTCTATCTCCTTAAATTAATTCTAAACAAAGAGTAAGTGCTAGACTGTGAAATCTGTAGGGACAGTGAGAAATAATTCAAAATATCTGAAGTCTGTGTTTGGAAGCTAATATTTTAAAAACCGTTTTCCTGTTCATGTGCTTTTAAATAGATAATTAAATGTTGAAATTACAAAATCTTATAGCACAGCATAGATTTGTTGTCTTTTAAAATTTGAATTTAATATGGGCACACTTTAAAAGCTGTCATTCTTCTGGGATAAAGGAATTACAGACAGTAAGCCCAAGAAAAATAAAGCAGTAATAATTCTTAATATAGTTTTTCTAGTTAATATCAAATGGGAATGGTTTCTGCTAGCTCTTCAGGAATGCTAATTGATTTGAGCTGAATATAACAATTCTAGGATCAGATCTATGAAGAAATCCAGAACCACTACACACAGAGCCAACTATAGAAAATGAGACTTCCTTAGTGAGCACCCCACCTAGCTGATAAAGATAACTCCATCCTTTCAGTCTCTCTTCTCTCCAGATCTTGCAGCCCTCCTAACTGTCCTGTAGAGTCTAAAAGACATGAAGATGCTACAACTATCTGAGCAAGGTGGAGAGAATGCATTTAGTAGAGCACTGATATTTCTGGCTGGATGCTAATTTGATTTATTTCAGGGAAGTGCATATGAAGCAAATGTGTGGAATTGAATTCCTGCATGCAGAAAAAATTACACTCATTGACATTCATTGATGCTGAATGCTTATGGAGAATGAACAGTGGATATGAGCACAATGAAGCAATGGGTGCTGCATTTCCCAATAGTGACATGAAAGACAAGCCATGTTCTGGACAGACATGCATATTTTTATGAGCACAGCACACAGACTCTTGTTCCTTGCTAGTGAAAATGTATAGCTGATGGTGGTGATACTGTTGAAAAACACCGTTTTGTAGCTGACAATTTTTTCTTAGGGAAAAATTACATGTTCAACAATAGTATTTGCAGATGGTCACACAAGAAGATATCAATTAGACTTGTTACTTAAAGCTTTTTTTTTTTTTTCCCTTTTTCTCTATTTTCTCTTTCAGGTTACTGTACCTAAGTGTAGTTCCTAGGTTTGTTAGATGTTTTCAGCTGAGGCCACCCAAAATTAGACAAAGCTAATTTGGATTTTAATCTCTGCATATCAAACCCCCCATCTGTGAAACAATGATAATGGTGTTCTCTTTCTCAGAGGAATGACAAGATTACAGATTAACTGTGCGAGAGGATGACAGCATTTGCCCTTGATTTCATAATATGGGCCAGATATTCTAACACATTTTTCTGCTGTACTTGTGTGGAGCTGTAGAGATAGCTCTTAAGTGACCAGAGATCACATTGATCAGTAAGAAATGATTTAATGAAAGATTACTTGGAGCTGCCTAAAGAAAACATACAATCCAGTTATCATCCAGTGTTACAAATGTGGTATTATGGCCAAGACTAGGCTATTGTGAGTACCAAATATGCCAACTTCAATTGCACAGCCAAAGTTTCTGCTCCTAAAAATGCCTATTCCGTAATTATCCAGGAGGAATTACAAACTGGGATTTTCTAAGTGTTATAAAAATCACTGAGTATATTGACTAATTATTTAGACACAAGAATTATGGATTTTTTTAAAAATGAGATA